ACACTTTTCTTTGTTTCTCACACGAGTGTTATCATATCCTCGGGAAATATTTATATTAATTGTAGTTATTGTTTTCAATACATTTGCATTTATTTGTACAATATAATAATATATATTTAATAAGTTAGTTAAATTTTAAATCTAAATGTGAAATGACCAATTATGACTTTTTCTCGATATGCCCGACGCTACTTATATTATGATTCATAATTTTTCTATTTCTCTAGTCTCTACTAATGTTCTTGATCTTAAGCTTTCAAAGCCTCTGGAAAGTATCTGTTATTCTTTGGTTAGCCAAATTTTAGTGTATGTGGCTGAGTTATATAGGAACATTTTTATTTGAGAATGAATTCATGAGTATTAAATCCAATAATCTCAACAATACTGCGACCACACCGAACTTAATTAGTATTAATCAAGTTATTTTTGTTTCAAGGTTTATACTATTGAAGAATTTACTAAATGTTATAATTCAAACTCCTCCAGATGATCAATGATCACACCACCGGGATATTCAATAATTATCACATATTTACCACTAGATGTACACCTGTCAAATATTTTATTAGCTAGAACTCAATGTTACTCAATTGCCAAGACTTAAATAACTTAAATTATGAGGAAGATAATAAATAAATAAAATCAACAACGGTATGCCTCATGTGACACAACTTTATTGATTAGTATGCGGAGTAACTTACTGCCCTTTTGAAGGGATTTTGCTATTTTATATACATATATATGTATAAGTCTTTGTATAATTTCTTATTGGTCATCTTAAGTTTTATGCGTCTATAATCAATACCATTACTCAATTAAAATAAGCAATTGGTATCTGTTTTGTTTTTGCATATCATATTAAATTATAGTTGATGACACAAAGCTGTCAGTTTTTTAAACAAAAAATCTCTACACAATTGTAAACAATTTGATTATTATATTAGCCAAAAGAATCCGTAAACCGTAGCACGAATGACGCTATACTAAAGCATCGGTTGTGCAAGTTATATGTGTATAATATGGATTCTAAGAAATGTGAATATTTTTATAAAATTTAATTTTTGATGTACTTATGTAGATATTACAGCTCCGCCCTCGCTACACAATGACCCTAATGTGCTGTATTTTTTTTTTATCATTAAAATATTTTAGGTCTAATATTATGTCAAAGTCTTTTGTTGGATTCCGTTTAAATTAATTTTTAGATTTATTTTATTTCATAAAAAACAATATAACTGTGTGCTATGCATATGAACATTTTTAAAACTTGGATAGTTTTTTTATATTCGCCTGATACGCTTTTGTGTTATATTTTATATATCCAAGCTTCAACAATTTTTTAAATTATAAAAATTTTGTACAATTCCCTGTCGTGGGATATACAATTTTTTTTTAAACATATTAGTGTTAGCGTACAAATTGTCACGGCACAAAATGTGGTGAACTTAGCAGGCTTGTCTGTGCGATTTTGTTTACATAGCTGGTTACTTTTTATTTTATACCTAGTTGACTCATATTTACAATACTCAACGGGATTAACCAACCCACCGACAGCAAGACGTTCGGTTTTTATGTTTTTTTCTATGATATTTTATCGATAAAAAATTATAAAATATATAAATTTATATTTTACCGTCATAGGTATTATAGGTTTTCCTCATAATGATAAAAAGATTTACCGTTGTTGTATTACAGTTTACAAATTTTTATTTTGCCAACTATAAGGGATTTAATTTGTTTGTCCAAGCTTAACTTTAATCATTCAAGTCATAACTGCTATTTTGTATTTATTCTGTAATATTTTGTACTATTATATTTCCAACCCAAAGACTAGCTATGATAAATTAGCGGTTCAAATACGGTAACAATGACAAGGCTATCGGTTGGGTTCATTATTTTTTTTAATGGGAAATTGCTGTGCTACTGTTGCAAAACTGAAAAATATTGATATTAAATTTAAATCTTCGCAAAATCATGCACCCGAATTTATTGACAAAATATAAAAAATATAATGCTACCGTTATTAAAAAAATTATTTACATGTTATGGAATTAAAAGAAACATGATCCTATTTGGAAAAAAACTAAATCCAAACATCTTTTATTAATTACGGAAGAATGTAAAAATCTGACAAGTATAGGAAACAAATTGTTTTCAAATTATCCATAGTTTCCAAGAAAACGAGTGTATTACATCAAATGGATCACGCTGTATTGTATAAGCATTCAAGTTCAAAACTTTCTGGGCATGATTTTAACTGTTTAAACAGGATCTGGGACTGAGACGGTACCCTTGATTAAGAGGAGGATATAATAACCGTAAAAAGTGTCATGAAAACGCTGTCACGCGGTTATCTGATAAGAGATTTGAGATGACGGATGGGGGTGGAAAAATAAACAACCCAATGTAGCAATTCCACGAGAAATTTGTAATGTATTGATTATATTGCCACAGGCATTGTGAAATATGCTGTATTTAATTTTAAAATGTGTTTAATTAGGCAACTTAAAAAAACCAAGATTGTACAGATACTTAAATTACTTTAAAATATGACAGAATAAAAAAATGAGTTATTTTAGCCTTCGGGTACCTTTATTATTTCTTGTTCTTTTTAGGAACTACGACAGTCATTTTCGATATTCAATCATATTTTAATGAAATTTAATTAATTTAAACAGTTTGTTTTTTTTTAAATTTTATTTCCTGTAATAGTTTTTTTAACTAAAAAAACTCAACGTCACATAATAGAGATTTAAACTCGAGTTATTTTCAAGTACGACACCGACTTGGTCTAATAAATGGTTAAAATACACATAAGACGTTTGGGAATTATTTTAGTTTTGGTTAAAATTTGGTTGATCAATATGATTTTAATGTTAAAGGAAAAGTGCAAACTATCAACTTGATGTTTTTCAAATAGTACATTATTTCAATCTATATTGATTGTATTAAATAAATTAAAACTCGGTTGAAACAAATTTTTTTTATTCTTAATATTAAAAAGTAAAAAAAATAAACATTAACTTGATAAGTGGAAAGGAATCCCCCATCGTTACTACGGTAATATGTTCTGTTGTACTAATACCGGTTTCAACGAATCCTAACTATAAACCATATCATATGTATTATATTTTACATTGTATTATCGTGAACGATATTAACATGATATTAGGTAACGCCTTGTAGATGCGTGTAATACAAGTAGCCGAATTGCCTATGCGAGACGCCGGCAATGCGAGAAGGTATTTTTTAATAAATTCCATACGGTAGATTTTGGCGCGACACTGAACGAGTCCCAACAGTTACCTGGTATTATATACGGTTAGGTTAGGTTAATGTATAAAACCACTACAGTACCGTGTAAAAGTCTGTTTTCGGACGTGAAACATACACTTTTCACGGAGAAATGTCCATTTTCAAATATATTGATAGAGATAACAATTGATAATAACTTAAAATAGATAACAGATACATTAATAAACTTGGAAACTAGATTGTAAAATATATGTACAAATAAGATAAAGTGTGCAAGCGAAATCCGGTTCCTTTGACAACTACATAATAATAATAAAATACTAGCACTTATACCTAAGCTTTTATATTATAGGGATGAGAAACAATAACTATGGGCTTAGTTATTATATCTCACCTTCTTGTAGTATTTGTTTTTATATTACTGAAATATTACAAATATTTCCAACCCTCACTCGGTTGTCGACACGGGAAAAGGTTTTTTTCCCATTATTATGTGTAGTTAGAACAAATTTTGTGTATTTACCAAATTGTTGCTCACTTCGTTATTTTATGTATAATACACACTTTATATAGCCTAAGAGATTTTAATATGAATCCTATACCGTTTCGTTTTATAATATCTCAAGTAATATATATTACTATATATATCTTCGAATAGCAAAAAAAAATAGTAGCTTTTTTTACTGCATATACAATCGAGACTATTGTGTTGAATGTGTTCTAACCGGATTGAGTTTTGTGGATTTTGTGAAAATGAAATTATGCAGTTGTCTGACCTAACGGGGTTATGCGGCGTTAAATTACAAACTTTAGGGTACGGACCTAAACCAAAATCCCGGTACAATGGGTTTTGCGTGACGGCGTTAATCGAAATTCAAATCTATTTCATGCCAAAACCGGGACGTTGAGATAGTCCTTTAGTTCGCTCCAGAGAGAGAGAGAGAGAAATCCACACCGAAGTTTCCGGTAAAATTATTATTGACATTTCCAAAAGACAGGAAAGCATCGTTTAAAACCGAAACGGATGCCGAATTTGTGATAAAACCAACTTAGACCGTTTCGTTAGCTTTGTATATTATTTCTCTAAACACTTACCTAGAAAATGTCAATTGTATGAAAAAAATGTGTTCTCTAAAGTACCCAAATAGAAATTTGTCCCTTCATGAAAACGTTTAGAAAACTTGATGACTAGAGACTAAGCTTTAGTTATGACATGTCTTACACACGTTGAGGAGTTCAGAATTTTATTAAAAAATGTAATATTATAATAATTCGTCAAAATGATTTACTACCATATAACCTTTGACTATACATATTATAGATAGCCCATAGAAATTTTTCTCGGTGGGCTATCTATAATATAATTAATGATAAAATTCATTAATATTATGTTTATATTTTTAATCGATTAGGTCGTGTTATTAATACTTGTCCGTGTCTCCAAAAACAGTTGCAATACATTACATAATAACAATTATTTAGTAATGTTCCTAAATTAATTAAATAAAGAGTTATACAATTAATCTTGACAGCTGCCAAGACTTTCTTCACAACTAACAGCATTCAATGTGTATATTATTTGTTCAACTATGAAGACTAGGACTTGAATGGATTATAATAGGCTATTAAAGAGGACGATTAAAAGAAATAAAACTATTTTCAAAACCACTTCGAATTGAATCTGTGTACAGGTAAAAAGCATCAAATGAGTTTATTATCAGTAAGTAAAATGATTTATTGTACGATACATTACATATTATAATTTGGATACAATTGTAGTTAAGAACAATTATTTAAATATAATAACAATATGACTGTATAATTTTTAATGAGTTAACTGTAAGATTTCTGACCTAAATTATAATAATTGAGAAGAAAGTGAATATTTTTTACTATATTAATGTTGTATTTCTTATTGGTCTTAAATTGCTTCCCCAATGATACTGACTACGTGTACAGTACCGTTCATTTCTTTAAGATGACACTCTTCACCAACAACTTCAGCTTCTTCTACAATAGAATCTGGGTGTAATATACTTCTGTATATACCTTTTAACCGACATATCAGGTTATAATCTCTGTGGTCTTCATGGCCTGGTCCTTAAAAAATAAAAAAGGTATGTTTAAAAATGTGCCAATCTTAACTTACTAGTTACCACATTTATTCAGTATATAAGGCATAACTATTACACGTGATGAATGCTATATACAGATGATCCGTATGGTACAGACTTTTTACTCTAAGAAAAGAACATTTTCAAATGGAGATAAAATATACTGGACACCTCGTATATCATAATCTATTAGTCATCAAAATTGTATAAAATACACATTTAAAAAGCAAACCATAGTTTTAATTATATAAACTTTTTATTATTTTATTATTATTTATTATTTATATAAACTAGGAAAATTATTAAAATATCATAAAAGTTATATTTTTTATCAAATAAAATGCTTCATTTATTCCTTTTCTAAAAAAACGACATCACTAAAAAGCTACTTTTAGTTTGAACAGGTTATAATATAATATTTTTCTTTATTCTTTGTTTTTATCGTTTTTCAAAGTAAGGGTACTTAAAAAAAAATTATTTTTAAAAACAATGTTGATTTCGACCATGTCGAGTTATCAGCACTTAACTGGCAGAAAAACAATAAAATATTTATTCCTTTGCAACATTTTCACTTGCCCCAAAGTAAAAGAGTATTTTTGTTTAAGTAACACAGGCAATAAGACGTTTATATACATATAACAAAAATTTAACTATTGCAATTTGATATAATACTTACTTAATGCAGCATTGATAAACAGTTTTATAGAATCACGGAATAGGTTTCTTCTCTCAGTTTCAATTTTTAACGGGTCAGACGTGTCAACTTCTAAAAACAAAATATGGGTTTAGCTACAAAAAAGTTTCAAATAATAAAATTAGCATAAATAAAAACAAAATATGCAACTTAATAATCGTCATTAATTCATTTAAAAATGGTGACAACTTTAACATATTGGCACACATTTGACTAATATATTTCGAATTTAGAATAGTATTTTAAAGGCAGTAACAAAAAATGTATAATCATTAAGCCACACAACTAAGTCTTTGGGTTAACTGTGAAAAGGCATAATTACTTTTTTCTGGAACAGAGAGTACATGCCTTGTAAATACTAACTACTGTTAACTAATAAATAAATGAAGTCGTAAAATACACCCTTTAAACAATTAATGTATATTTAATTTTACAAAAGCAAATGGCAATATGGGATCTATAAGCATTTTGACAGTATTTTATCTATTGACAAATAAATGCGTAATTACCTTCTTCAGGAACAGCGACGCCTGTAACAAACATTCGAAATAATTATGCAGAAAATAAAAACTAATTTTTTATTTTATCAATAACTACATTTATTTAGACTAGTTATAAGCCGTTTAAATAATTATTATACTTCGAACAATCATCAAAACTTTTAGTAAGAAAACATATAACTTTAAGATTTAAAAACTCAAATCAAATTTTCATTTATTTTGCTTATAAATAGATAACTTTCCAAATGTTCCTTGGCTTTAGTGGTTAGCCCCAAAAGGGGATCCCCTACGACTGCGGACCGACTATAAATAGATAACTATCATTTTTGTAATTGTATATTTACAAATTATTATATTTACCTAACAAGGCAGTAATTGCGTTTTCTAATTTCCCTTGAGATTGGGCAATTTCTAAAATTAAAAAAAAAGAAAAAATTCATTTAAATAATTTTTTACATATTTGTGTAAAACTTTTTTTAAAATAAAAATAAATATGTAAGTACATAATAAATTGAATGTATGTAAGTTATACATGTAAAGATTAAAATTTTAAATTTATAAGAGTAATTACGCTCCAGTATTTTTCCGTAGTAACCAGTCTCATTGTCGTTTTCTAATACAATACTTTTTAATGCTGAAATTTTAACGAGAACATTTTATACTTAATATCAAACAACTATGTGCAGACACGTTCATATATTTGAGAAAAATTATTACCTGGTGCAGCAAACATACACGACAGTTGCACTAAAATTTGCATAACATAAATGTATTAGAAGTATATGCCTAACCTAACACTTTCAAAAACTTTAATAACTATAATTACACATCGGTGTATCTCCGCGAACAAGTTGTCTTATTACCGGTATCAAACGCACTAGAATAAACAAATAATTAGTTGATGTAACAAATAAATTCTAATAATAAGTGTATTATACCATCACGACATGACACCAGCTGGATTTGTCTATCTGTAGTAAATAAATTAAAATAAATATATGCAAATATTTAAAAATAGAGTTGAATTTGTTTGATAAAATACAATTACTAACTTCCTATGGCAATATAGGTTAAATAGTCCGCTGTAAAAGGTTAATCATTAAATTATTTAAAGATTTTAATTCCATCGAGTAGGCAAGTTTAAAAAATAAAATAAATAATAAAACAATAGTTACGAGGATCCATTAATGTATTGTCATTGCTAATGCCACTGATGGTGATTGTTATACCGTTTTCAAAAGTTAGACGACAATGATCTCCAACAACTTCAGCTTCTTTTACAAAAGAATTTGGTTCTAATATACTTCTGAGTACACCTTTTAACCGACACATTAGGTATACATTTCCGAAATATACATGGCCTGGTGCTTAAAAAATAAAAAAGTTTTATTTAAAAATTTGCCAATCTTAACTTACTAGTTACCACATTTATTCAGTGTATAAGGCATAACTATTACACGTGATTAATGCTATATACAGATGATCCGTATGGTACAGCTATGTTACTCTAAGTCACATTTTTCAAATGGAGATGAAATATACTGGACACCTCGTGTATTATAATCTATTAGTAATAAAAATTGTATAAAATACACCTCTAAAAAACGATCCATAGTTTTAATTATATAAATTAGGAAAATTATTAAAATATCAAAAAAGTTGTATTTATATTTTTATCCAATAAAATGCCATAAAAATTAATTTATATCTTTTCTATTAAGGGACATCACTAAAAAGCTACTTTTAGTTATACTCTAAGTCAATACATTTTTCAAATGGAGATAAAATGAATGGACACCTCATATATCATAATCTACTAGTCATATAAATATTTGTATAAAATACCCCTCTAAAAAGCAAACCATAGTGTTTTATAACCATAGTGTCTAGTTTTATAAACTAGACAAATTATTAAAATATCAAAATAGTTATATTAATAAGATTATATCAAAGAAAATTATTAATTTATACCTTATTTCTATAAAACGACATCACTAAAAAGCTTCTTTTAGTTTAAACGGGTTATAACACAATATTTTTCTTAACTCTTCATTTTTATCGTTTTTCAAAGTAAAAGGACTTTGAAAAAACGATTTTTAAAAACAATGTTGATGCCGATCATGTCAAGTTATCAGCACTTAACCGGCAGAAGAACAATACAAATAAAATATAAATCCCTCTGAAACATATTCACTTTAACTCACGCATCAAAGTAATTAATTAATACTTACTTGATTCTCTAAGAATAATTCTATTTATTTGTATTCGGAATCGTTCTTGTCTCTCTTTTTGCATTTTTAACATTGCGTCTACGAGTCAAAAATATGTATAATATAATAATAAACCGTCTTGATTACAAAAATATTATACAAAAATAATGTAATAATTGCTCGTGTTATTAATGTAGTACAATTAAGTTTTTGTTCAAATGTTCTTATGTTGAACTAGTAGGAAGTAATTTGCCTATACTTATGTATTACTTAAACAAGTATATGCCATGTAAATACTAACTACTTTTAAGTCCCAAGCAATATGTTTTAAAATTATAGTAAATTTTGTTTTAAATAATATGCCATTGAACAATTTATTTTTATTTTTACAATTAAAACATATATCGTATGCATTATACTCAGCATTGCCTCGCTAAGCAACGATATATTACTAATTCATTTGCATAAATCTACTGTACATTTTTAATATCACAATTAATACAGTTTTATAAGCTTTATTTTTATGTTTTATATAATTATAATAACTACCTCTCGAAACATTACGTGCCAAACCCATTTTTCTCATTGCAGTACGTACTACACCTTGTATAAACAAATTATGAGTTCAGATATAAATTAGTTACAAATAACAAAATTAGCATATATAAAATTAAAATATGCAACTTTATAATATTTATTATTTAATAATAAATAGCGACACCATCTTAAAATGGAGCAAGCAAACGGACAGCAGATGGTTTTTATTTAAATTTACTTTCTGCTATTGGACGGTGTGTATAATATGTCTTGACCGACGGTTAAAACTCAAAACGCTAATACGGTTCTAGTCTAGGTTTGAACATATTTTTCAAAAAACAAGAAAAACTATCAAAGTGTATTGCAAATGATATAATTTGAATTATTAAAACATAATAAATAATTCCTCTGTATTTAGTTCATTTATCTTTATTTTGTTATATATGAAGTTATAGGGGATCGATGAACTTATTGACACATATTTGGTTAATATATTTCAAGTTAAGAATATTATTTTACCTATTAACAAAAAAATGCGTAATTACCTTCTTCACGAACAGGGATATCTGTAACAAAAATATTAAATAATTATACAGAAAATAAAAACCGATTTTATATTTTATCTATAACAGTATCTAAAAAAACATTCATTTGGACTAGTTATTAGCTGTTTAAATAATTATTATACTTTGAACAATCTTCAAAAATTTTAGTTAGAATACATATAGCTTTAAGATTTAAGAACTCATATCAAATTTTCATTTATTTTGCTTACAAATAAATGACCACCTAATTTGAAATTGTATATTTATAAATTATTATATTTACCATACGTAGTAGTTATTATTGCTTGTAATTCTTTTTCGGAATCTACGCGTTCTAAAATAAAAAAATTAAAATAATTAAAATTAATTTTTACAATATTTGTGCACATATTTTCTTGGGATAAAAATAAACATTTAAGTGCATAATAAATCTAAATTTATAAAAATTATGCATATATATCTAAACATGTAAAGATTCTATAATTAACATTTATAAGAATAGTTACGCTGCAGTTCTTCTTCGTAGTTTTCATTGCTTTGCAACGGTACTATTTTAATTGCTGAAATTTTAAAAAGAACATTTTGTACTTCATATCAAACAACTATACGCAGGCACGTCCATATATTTGGGAAAAAATATTACCTGGTGCAGCAAACATATGCGACAGTTTCACTAAAATTTACATAACATATATGTATAAGAGATATGTATCTAACTTAACACTTTTCAATACTGTAATAATTATAATTACCCATCGGTGTATCTCCACGAACCATATTTTCAACTACCGCTTCGAAATTCACTAGAATAAACAAATAATGAGTTGAGGTATTAAATTAATTCTAATAATAAGTGTATATTATACCATGCTGATCTGCAACGCGGAGGTATCTATCTGTAATAAATATACTAAAATAAATATATGCAAATATTTAAAACTAATGTTAAGATAAAATAAAATTACTAACTGGTTTTTTTAGCCTCTCTTATATAATCATCTGCGAAAAAAATAACTATTACATTTTTAGTTCCCTCGATTGGGTCAGTGTAAAAAATATATAAATAATAATTACCTAGGTCAACTGCTAAAACAGCTACCACAACGAATGATATTAAAAAACAAAAACGTCTCATTTTTATCTGCAAACAATATTAAAAATAAAAGCCTTTTGTATTAGACATAGTCATCGATTAATTATTGGCTCCGATGCGAAGGTTTTCGTTTTAAAATGATAACTTCTAAATCTATTTACAATGCTAGTGTAGGGCTCATTAACATACAAAATTAAAAAAACTAATTTTTTTTTACAAAGAATTACATAGTGTATCGTATTTTAATTTGAAACATTTACGTATTTTTTTTTGATTATTTTCATGATTTTGAATGAAATTTTTTAAATATTGGGCCAAATGAGCCAAAATTTAGGTACTGATCAATACAAAACGGTGTACAATTTCTGTATTATATTATTAATAAAATGAGCCTAGTGGTTAATAGTTTATAGCAATAAAATTTAATAAAAATGCAATAGGTACTTACTAGCTTTGAAATTCTGGTAGAACTCTGGTGAACTTGTATTTTAAATCACCCGTTTTATAATGATTCGTTTTGTGTCTTGTTCTTGAAAATCGGAATAAGTATTGAAGCGCTCAAATATATTTTATTTATACAAGTGTAAAGAAATGTTTAGGCTATGGTTTTTATTTTACAACTTAATACTGTGTGCTATTACTCATACGTTGTTCACATCGAAACGAAATTTAATAATTATGACCTTAATTAAAAAATATTAGATTATTAATAATTTTAAGTAAATAAGACGCAAAAAATATGTTTACTAGACTGATATTTTTTACACACTTTATCGTTTTTGTAATATTATAGCGTATTTCATACGAATAAAATGTATAATATAAAATAAAACCTATCGTATATTATCAATTTGAAAACTAAATTTGAACTACTGGTTAAAATATTCTGTAATGTTTGTTACAATTCCTAGATACAATAAAGAAATATATTAATAAGAAATATATATATATATATATATATTTATCGAAAATACACATTAGCAATGATTGATCACTGATGACTTATTCAATTAAAAATTAATTATATTCTTAATGGTAGCAGATATATTTACAATATTACAATATTAAAAAGTCAGTACAGTGGGGTCGAGGCTTAGTGGTGACGGACCATGGGGGGGGGGGGGTATAGTGGCATAGGTGGTATTTATTTGTTTTCTGAGGTTTTTAGCCGTAATTTTAAGACCTTTAAGTTGAAAATTTGTTAAAAGTTAGAACTCATCTATAATAAATTAAACGAAGCAAAAATTCGGCACTACAGTTTTTCTTTCAATGCCGGAAAACTGTGTTTTTCGCTGATTTCGTATATTTTGAAAAGTTGACAATATGCTCGAGTCAATCTCGAGTATTTGAAAAAAAAAAATAAAGAGTCAAAATAATAAAAAATAAAAATGAATTGGATTAAGATCCCTTTTTGCATGTGTGATAAAAAAAGTCAATTTCTTGCAGTTTTTTTCCCAGAAATGGCGTTAAGGACCCTTTTTGCATGAACCGTATGATTTGACTTGTACACGTTGTCTTTAAATTTGATATTTGTGTTATGACTAATATTCTTATTACTGCAAAATGCGCGTTCGACGAGTTCTGTGTATACAAGTGTCCCACAATTTTATAACGATTTAAAATGTAGCGACTTAAGTTAAAATTTTTAAGAAAAAAACAAAATGCATGTAAAGAACATTTTAAACAAACTTTTTTGACATTACACTGAACCAAATGTTTATTTATTCACACTAATTTTCTTGGAAAACGCAATTACATCATGTTACATCCATTTATTATAAGTATAAAATGTGACGTTTACTACAGTGTTAATCCTCAAAATCGGGAAAACTCAAAACAAAATTTAACAATTATTCATTTTTAACTTTAACGAAAATAAAATATAATACATACATTTGTACAAATAATAGACATGGTTTACATAAAAATCATTGTATCTGTGTAATTTTTACACGTTACTAACATATAATATATTAATAACGTTAATGAATATTGAAAACGGCAAATGAAAAAAAATATATTTTAATGCTTATTAGCAAATACAGCACTTCAATTGAATCGGCCATTTCAAAAAAGTCACAAAATTGAAATTTTACACTAGCTACAAAAATGTTCATAACTTAATAACTAGTTTTTGCTACTTGAAGACACAAAACTGTCAGTTTTTTTTAACAAAAAATCTCTACACAATTGTAAACAATTTGATTATATTTACCCAAAGAATATCAGAAATCGTAGCACGAATGACGCTATACTGAAGCATCGGTTGTGCAAGTTATTTGTGTATACTATAGATTATACGAAATATGAATATTTTTAAAAAAATTAACTTTCTATGTTCTTATGTAGATATTACAGCTCCGCCCTCGCTACACAATGACCCTAATGTGATGGATTTTTTTTTATTAAATCATTTAGGTCTTAACATAATGTCAATGTCATCTGTTGGATTCCGTTTAAATCAATTTTCAGTTTTATAACATAAAACGCAATTTAATTGTGTGCTATGCATATGAACATATTTAAAACTCTTATAGTTTTTTTATACTCGCCTGATGCGCTTTTGTATTATATTTTATATTTATATTAAATAAATTTTATAATTTTTTTACAAATCTCTGTCGTGGGGCATACAGTTTTTCTTTTAACATATTAGTGTTACCGTAAAAATTGTCACGGCACAAAATCTAGGTGTATTTAGCAGGCTTGCCTGTGCGATTTTGTTTACATAGCTGGTTTCTTTTTATTTTATACCCAGTTGACACATATTTACAATACTCGGCGGGCTTAACCAACCCACCGACAGCAAGACGTTCGGTTTTTATGTTTTTTTCTATGATATTTTATCGATAAAAAATTATAAAATATATTAATTTGTATTTTAAAGGTATTCACCGTTTTCCTCATAATGATAGAAAGATTTACCGTTGTTGTATTATAGTTTACACATTTTTATAACGCTAACTATAAGGAATTTAATTTGTTTGTCCAGCTTAACTTTAATCATTCAAGTCATAACTGCTATTTTGTATTTATTCTGTATTATTTTGTACTATTATATTTCCAACCCAAAGACTAGCTATGATAAATTAGCGATTCAAATACGGTAACGATGACAAGGTTATCGATTGGGGTCATTATTTTTTTAATGAGAAATTGCAAAAACCGAAAAATATTGATATTAAATTTAAATCTTCGCAAAGTCATGCAAACGAGTTGACTGACAAAATATAAAAAATGTAATGATACCATTATTTAAAATCTGTTTACATATTATGGAATTAAAAAAAACATGATCCTATTTGGAAAAAAAAACTCAACGTCACATAATAGAGATTTAAACTAGAGTTATTTTCAAGTATGACACCAACTTGGTCTAATAAACGGTTAAAATACACTTAAGACGTTTGGAATTTATTTTAGTTTTGGTTAAAATTTGGTTGCATGGTTTCAGTAAATTCGTAAAAATCCAATTCGTACAGCATATCTCTTATCAGATAACAGCGTAACGCTTTTTTGGTAACACTTTCTTCGGTTATGTGCCAGAGCTAATTCCCAACCCCAACCCCAACCCTATTTTCACCCACATCTCCAACTCCCTATCTCCCACCCTTATCTCCTACTTCTATATCCTACCCTATATCCTACCCCTATCTTCCACCCCAACCCCATCTCCGTGTGGTAACGCTTTTCGTTACGGTTTTTTCGGTTATATGCCAGAGCTAATGCACCGTTTTAGGCCAGATATTATGAATACACTAAAATATTGGCCAGAAACTTGATTTGTTCACTGGCCACCTTAGATACTAGCTTTATCTATATATCCACCACTACTCTAATTGTATTCACTACTTTAAAAAGACATGAAAATGCTCTTTCGTGGTTGCAGACTCAGCCGAAAAATGTTTTACAACGTTATTCGCAGAAGTAATAGAGATAATAACGGTCGGTGGGTACTGAAGCTCTGCAGCTCCGCATTGCAGAATGGCCTAATTTGCTATAATTAAACAATGTCGTATACAAGGCAACTATAAACCATAAAGACTATTGGTTAAAAATTTTTTCAAAAACTATTCAGAACGAATCAGTATACAGGTAAAAAACAACAAATGAGTTTATAATCGCAAGTAAAACGGTTTATTGTAAGATACAATAAATTTGTTAATTTTGATACAAGTGTGGTTTGGAACAATTATTTAAATATAATAACAATAGTACTGTATAATTTTTAATAACTGTAAGTTTCTTGGTCTAAATTATAATAACCGAGAAGCAAGTGAATACGTTTTAATCTATTAATGATGTTTGTTTCATAACATACCCCCTGCAATTGACTATGATTTTTTCGTTGTCTATACCAGTTAGATGACACTTATCATCAACAACTTCAGCTAGTATTATAAATGTATCTGGGTATAATATACTTCTATACAAACCCCTCAACCGACACATCCGGTTATAATCACTGTTAAAATCTTCATCCTCCCCATCTTAAAAAATAAAAAAGGATTATTTAAAAATTTGCCAAACTCAACTTACTAGTTATTACATTTGTGTAAGACATAACATATAATTTATATGGCCATGGTCGTATAAAGCATTTTTAGTATATTGCTTTACTATCCACCAAAGGCCATCAAAAACAATTTTTAAAAATCAGTTTTGTATGTAAAAAAAAATTGATTTGTTTTTTTTTTTAGAAAAAAAGTTGTTAAATTGAAAATATAATAAAAAAAAAATAGGTTTTGTCATGTTACCCTAAATATGAGAATTTCTTTAATATTTTTTTCAGATATCTGAGACATAAAATATATAAATTTCAAACTGGGATAACCATACAAACGTATAGAAAAATACAAAAGAAGTAAAAATGTATTATTATAATCGAAAAAACGAAAAATATTTTTACACATAACTATTTTGATAACTGTAATTGTTTTTTGTCCTTTATTTTTATTTACACATTTAATGTAAAATTTTCGCAGTTTTCTGAAAAACAAATTAGAAAAATTCTCAAATTCTGGTCAACACGACAAAACCAGTATTTTAAAATTAAAACTCAATTTAATATTTATTTTCTGTTACTTGAAATCACAAATAAATAGTTTTTTCAGAAAGCTTAGATTATAGTGTTACATATGAAACTGATTTTCAAAAAAATAATTTAAAAGGTCGAAGATATTATAAAAAACGATAAAAACAAACAGTAAAGAAAAAAATTAAAAACACTTTAAGTACAGTAAATTAGTATAAATTAATTTAAAAAAAAAATTATTTCAGTTGTTATGTTCTATCTTTGTGGGACAAGATGTATATATATATACAGGGTGTAATGTAAAGTTCTACCGAGCTCTACATTACACCCTGTACATACACATACATATACACGTTTAACAAAAACTAAATCATTACAATTTCATATAATACTTACTTGATACAAAATAGAGAAGTTGTCTTGTAGCCTCACGAGTTAGATTTGTTCTCTCATTTTCAAGTTCCGTCAACAGACAGTCATCATAATCTGTACAAACTAATAAATAACTGTGTCGATTACAAAAATATTATACATAAAAAATATATAATTGCTCGTGTTATTAATGGAGTACATTTATGCATTTTTATTTTTTGTTCAAATTTCCTTATGATTCATTATTAATATGATAATATTTAGCATTGTCGATAAGCAACGATATATCACTGATTAATTTGCATATATCAACGCTACACTTGTGTTATCACATTTTATACGGTTTTATAAGCTTTATTTTTATGTGTTATATAATTATTATATCTACCCGTCGAATCAAATGCCAAACCCACTATTCTTAATGCAGAACGTACTAGACCTGGTATAAACAAATTAAGATTTCAGTTAGGTACAAAAATGTTTCAAATAATAAAATTGGCATAAATAAAATTAAACATGCAACTTAATGATCGTCATTATTTAATAATAAATGGCAACATCATCTTGATATTTAGCAAGCAAACGGATAGCAGCAAGTAAATGTTGATTGTTCTGTTAAAATATATTATTGGACGGCATGTGTAAGACTTTATTGACGGTCAAAAATCAAAACGCCAACACGGTAGTTAAATCAAAAACGAGAAAAACTTTCAAAATATATTGAAAAGATTCCTGACAATTTAATTCGAATAATAAATACATAATACATTATTCTTCTATTTTTAGTACTTTTATATTTAGTTTGTTTTAAATGAAGTCACAAAAAATGTATAAGTAATCATTAAGTCCCACAATTAATTCTTTGGGTTAATTGTGATAAACATATAAATTCGTAATTACTCTCTTCAGCAACAGAGGCACCTGTAGCAAAAATATTATATACTAATACAGTAAATCGTATAGTCATCGATTTTGATTAGAAATAAATAATTTAAACATATTGGCACACATTTGACTATTATATGTCGAATTTAGAATAGCATTTTAAAGGCAATAACAAAAAATGTATAATCATTAAGTCGCACAACTAAATCTTTGGGTTAACTGTGAAAAAGCTTAATTACTTTTTTCTGGAACAGAGACACCTGTAACAAAAACATCGTATAATCATCGATTTTGATAAGAAATAAATAATTACCATTTTTGAAATTGTGTATTTATAAATTTTACTATTTACCAAATTCTTTGGATATTATTTCTTGCAAGTGAATTTGGGAATCTATGCATTCTAAAATTAAAAAAAAACAAGTCATTCATTTTAATGTACATATTTTTTTAGGGTAAAAATAAATATGTAAATACATATATATATTTTTATTATAAATGTATAAGAATAAATACGCTGCAGTGTTTCTTCGTAGTTTGGATAGTTTCCTTCTAATGCTATTGCTGAAAATTAAACGAGAACATTTTATTCTTAATATTAAACCACTATGTGCAAACACAGCCATACTTCTAAAAAATATTATTACCTGGAGCAGCAAACATATAAGCCAAAATCGCTAAAATTTGCATAACATAAATGTATTAGAGGTATGTAATTTAATGTTGAATTTTGTGAAACACTTTTAAATACTCTTTTCTAATATCAATTTTATTATTTTTTTTTAATTATAATTACTCATCGGCGCCTTTCCACAAACTATTTTTCGAATTACAATTTGTAACTGTTCTAGAAAAACAAACAAATAATGGGTGAAGCTAACAAATAAGTTATTACAATAAGTGTATACTGATTACCATCAGGAAATGGCACCCGCTCGATTTGTCTATCTGTAATAAACAAATTAAAATAAATATATGCAAATATGTAAAATTAATGTTAAAATTGAATTATAAAAACTAACGAGTATCCACACTACAAAACCGGATACATAGGCGCTTATTGACTTTTCATATCTCTAATCTATTATCTCTATTTTATCTCTAATCTAGTATACATAATATCTTATATTTAATCTATTATCTCTAATCTATTGTCTCTAATACAATATCTCTTTTATTTTTAATCTCCCCCCTCCTTCCTCCGCCACCGCTGAGTGTGACATTCGGCGTTACGTTTCGGACAAATTTTTAAAATGACTCTCAGCAATAAAACATATACATGTTAAAAAAATCACTAACTTGTGTAGCCAATCTCCCTCTTATAGTCCTCTGCAAAAAAGTTAATCATTAAATTATTTTAAGATTTTTAATTACCTTGAGTAGGCCAGTGTAAAAAATAAAATAAATTATAATTACCTTGTTTATCTGCCAAAACATTTACAACAACGAATGATATTAAAACACAAAAATGTTTCATTGTTATCTAAAAAAAATAAACATAAAAGCCTTTTGTTTTAGACATAGTCTTCAATTAATTATTGGCTCCGATGTGAAACTGAGGTTTTCATTTTAAAATAATAACTTTTTTATCAGTAAACCGATATCTTGATGTAGCTAATCTGTAGATAAGAAATCACACTTGAGAGATATTTCCCAGATAAAATGGTCAAAATAATATAAATCACACCTTATTATTAAATATATAAAAACCCTTATTTTCCTATTAGTTCATAATTCTTACACCCTAAAAAAGATGGGATTTTTACAATTTTATCGGGAGTACTCTATGTGAAAAATAGTCCATATGAATTTGGAATGAAATTGATTATTAAAAAATTATTGAACTTTTTAATTTGTTTGATCTTCTCAGCTTCGCACCAATGTTTAAAACATATGATTCATAATATTATTACTTTGTTCCTAAATTGATAACACAAGGGTTTTTGCTTAGTGTTATTTTACATGAAGGTTACGAAGTGTTTTTATTGGAAAGTATCAAATCTAAAGAATAGTCCATACTAATTGACAATTATTTTGACTTTTTTTTTAAATAATGATATTTATAGAGCGCTAATCAAATTATCAAAAAAAAAAAAAATACCAGTACAGTGGGGTCAGGGCATAATGGGGACGGAGCTTAGTGGGCTCGGGTATTAGTAGGCACGGGAAGGTCACAGGCTTACAGGAATTTTTAAATCTGAAAGTGATAAAAGAACTTTCGGATAAACGCTTCGATTCAAATCAGTAGTTAGTATTCTCAAGCCAGTACTGTCCGAACCAAATAAAGTATAAACAAGCAAAGTTAGAAAGTATTAAATTAACGTACTGTATTTACAAAGAAGCATCAAAGCAGTTTATTTGAAAATGATTTTATTCACATTTATCACTTTTATTTATAACAATTATTCCTGTAGACCTGTGACCTCTCCGTCGCCTCTATGCTTTGATTCCATTATGCCTATACTCTGCTGTACTAGTAAAATTTCTAACTTAAAAACTCGTATGGTTTTTTTTTTGTTTTTTACAAATTTCAACTGTGAAGAAGTAAACTTTTCCACTTTTACCCCCCCCCCTCCCAAAAAAATTACCAACAAGATCAAATGTATGATTAATAGAGTTGCTCCTCTAAGGAATTGGTCCAGTATTACAAAAGTTGCAGTGTATATAGACGCAAAAAAAGCCCACACATCATAGTAAAACCTTCGTCGCTTTACACCGAAGCTAAAATGTACATATTTCATAAACTTTAAAAAAAATTTTTTTACAAAGGTGTATATAGTGTTCTGTATTTAAAGTTGAAACATATTATACACATATTTTTGTTTGCTTTTTCTGATTTCGAATGTGAACTTTTGAAATATTGGGATAAATGGGGCACATTTTGAGTTCGATTTCTAATCAATAGACATTCTACAAGAATAAAACGGGGTGAAATGTTTGTAATATATTATTAATGAAATTATCCAAGTGGTTAGGTTAGGATAGGTTAAATTGCAAATCTAAAAACGAAATTAAAAAAATTAAATATAAATATAACATAACTTATATGCATCAAGTACTTACTAGCTTTGAAATTCTGGTAGAACTTTTGTAAACTGCTATGTTAAAATAACCGTTGTTTATATATTTTTTTTGTGACTTGTCAACCGAAACAGTAAAATCGGAATAAGTCTTCCTACACACAAATATATATATATATATATATAATTTATAAAGGTGTAAAGGAAAGTTTAGGCTATGGATTTTGATTTTCAACACATTACTGTGTGCTACTTGGAAATTTTGTAAAACCGTTTGTGTGGTCGTGTATTGAATTGGAGAAGAGTTTTGTGTGGTCTATTACTTATTTGTTGTTCACATCGATGCAAAACTTAAAAAATAAGACCTTAAAAAACAATGAAAATAGCTGTGTATTTTACACACATAATACGTCAACGATTTTTAATATTGATTCGAATTAAAGTACATAAGACCTAAAAAAATATGTTTACTAGCTTTGTGTTTTTTACACACTTTTTCGCTTACTATAGTAATACTATATAATATACTAGCACATTTCGTACAAGTAAAATTCAGAGTATAAAATAATACCTAACGCATTATCAATTGGAAACCTAAATTTGGGACTCTGGTTAAAATATTTTGTACATGTACAAGAAAATAATTGTTCTATTTGTTACAATTTCCAGGTACAATATATATATATTTTTTTATATGGTTATTATAGCATGTATAATGAAACGTTTCCAACTTGGGTCAGCGGTGTTTTCACCTTTCTATTTACTAAGGAAGAGATAGTGCCCCACCTCTTCAACAAGTTGAGGATATTGAGGAGTTCCTATTATCTCCTATTCCAATAGTAGTTACTGTAGTAACTGTACTGAAGTACAGTACAAAATCGATAGGTTATACCAATCATCAAATCGCCCGGACATGATCTCATCACAAACAAAGTAATAAAATATCTACCTAACAGTTCAGTATTTACAATACATAATAACATGCGTGCTAGTAATTATTTACTAATGTACTTAAATTATTAAATATGACAAATATGATTAACCTTGACTTCTGCCAAGACTTTCTTAACAACTAATAGCATTAAATGTGTTTATTACTTATTCAGTCAATTCACAAATAGAATATTTTTTCTCTTTAGTCGGTTGTAATTGTAAACATGTTTATCTCTGATGCTACTTCACAGGTCAAGTACTTGTTTTGCCTATTTTTTGCGCCGTTATCAAAACCAAAAATCGTTTATTCTTACCAATAATGTACGAATAAAGATTAACCGACACAAAAAAAATGTAAAAGTACTTTTTCAGATCCACATTGCAAAATGACTTAATTTGCTATAATTAAACAATGTCGAATAAAAGGCAACTATAAACTATAAAGACTAGTGGTTCAGGCATAAGGCTTGAATAGCATTATAATTAAAAAAAATAGGTAAAACTTTTTTCAAAAACTATTCAAAACGAATTAGTATACAGGTAAAAAACAACAAATGAGTTATAATGGTAAGTAAAACGGTTTATTGTAAGATACATTAAATATAATAATTTTGGATACAAGTGTGGTTTGGAACAATTATTTAAATAGAACAACAATAGGTAGAACTGTATAATTTTTAATAAGTTACCTGTAAGATCCATGGTCTAAATTATTATAACTGAGAAGCAAGTGAATACGTTTTACTATATTAATGATGTTTTTTCCTAAACATAACTCTACCCCCTGCATTTGACTGTGTGCACTTTTGTGTCTATACCAGTTAGCCGACACTCATCACCAACAACTTCAGCTAGAGTTATATATGTACTTGGATATAATATACTTCTATACAAACCCTTCAAACGACACATCCGTTTATCATCTTTGTGAAAATCTTCATCCCTTCCGGCTTAAAATAAAAAAAGTTTTTAATTAAAAATTTGCTTTACCCTCTAGTTACAACATTTGTATACATAACATACGATTATTTTGTCCGTGGTCGTACAAAGTATTTTTAGTTTTTTGCTTTACTCTTCGGCCATTAAATTTTTTTTTTTAAATCAGTTTTATATGTAAAAAAAAATTTACTTGTTCCAGTAATCTTAAAAAAATTAGAAAAATTCTCAAATTCTGGTCAACACGACAAAACCAAAATTAGACATTTTTTTACTCAATGTATTAATTTTCTGTCGAAATCACAAATTAATATTTTTTCCAGTAAGCTCAGATTATTTTATATATGAAACTGATTTAAAAAAAAATGATTCGAAGGTCAAAGATAAGGTCAAACTAACTATTTATGTAATGACCCTATCCAAATAACCAATAATTAACTCGGACCCCAGTCTTCTAGATTTTTAGCCCAAATGAAGTGTAAGATTGATTTTAGACTCGGACAATACAATGTTTTGTTTTTAATTTGATAATTTGTACTATTCATTTTGCTGGCCTCTCACTAATTTTAATTGTGTGCTATTACACATGTAATTACTTTTGTATTCGTATAATACTTACTTAATACAACATTGATCAATCGTTTTGTAGCTTCACGAGTTAGCTTTATTCTCTCTTTTTCAAGTTGTTTCAACTCAAAGTCATCATAATCTAAACAAATGGATAAATAACCGTGTCGATTACAAAAATATTATACATATATCACTGACTAATTTGCATATATCAACGCTACAGTTTTTTTATCACAATTATTAATACGGTATTATAAGCTTTATTATTTTATGTTTTGTGTATAATTATAATAACTACCCGTCGAATCGCACGGCCAACCAACTTTTCTCATCGCAGTACGTACTAGACCTAGTAAAAAGAAATTATGAGTTTAGCTACATAAAAGTTTCAAATAATTAAATTAGCATAAATAAAAATTAAATATGCAACTTAATAATCGTCATTATTTAATAATAAATGTCGACAATTTAAACCTAATGGCACACATTTGACTAATAAATGTAGAATAGTATTTTAAAGGCAGTAACAACATATGTATAATCATTAAGTCTAAATGTCACAACTAAATGTTTGGGTTAATTGTGAAAAAGCTTAATTACTTTTTTCTGGAACAGAGACACCTGTAACAAAAACATCGTATAATCATCGATTTTGATAAGAAATAAATAATTACCATTTTTGAAATTGTGTATTTATAAATTTTACTATTTACCAAATTCTTTGGATATTACTTCTTGCAAGTGAATTTGGGAATCTATGCATTCTAAAATTAAAAAAAAACAAGTCATTCATTTTAATGTACATATTTTCTTAGGGTAAAAATAAATATCTAAATACATATATATATATTTTTAATATAAATTTATAAGAATAAATACGCTGCAGTGTTTCTACGTAGTTTGGACAGTTTCCTTCTAATGCTATTGCTGAAATTTAAACGAGAACATGTTATACTTAATGTCAAACAACTATGTGCAAACACGTCCATACATCTGAGAAATATTATTACCTGGAGCAGCAAACATATAAGACAAATGGGCTAAAATTTGCATAAAATAAATGGATTAGAGGTATGTAATTTAATGTTGAAATTTGTGAAACACTTTCAAATACTATTTTCGAAACTCGAACATTTTTTTAAATGAATAATTATTAAAATTGTTTTAAATAATTATAATTATTACCCATCGGCGCCTCTCCATAAACTATATTTCGAATAACAATTTGTAAACTTTCTAGAAAAAAAAAACAAATAATGAGTCGAGCTAACAAATAAGTTCTAACAATAAGTGTATATACCATCAGGGCATGGCAACCGCTCGATTTGTCTATCTGCAGTAAAAAAATTAAAATACATAAATCTGTAAATATTTTAATTTGTATGTTAAAAAAAATTACTAACTTGTGTAGACAATTTCCCTCATATAGTCCTCTGCAAAAATATAATCATTATTTTAAGATTTTTAATTACCTCAAGTAGGACAGTGTAAAAAATTAAATGGTCTTACGATTAAATACAAATTAATTACCTTGTTTATCTGCTAAAACATTTACAATAACGAATGACATTAAAACACAAAAACGTTTCATTTTTATCTGCAAAAAATAATAAACATAAAGCCTTTTGTTTTGGACATAGTCTTTAATTAATTATTGGCTCGGATGTGAAACTGAGAAGGTTTTCATTTTGAAATGATAACTTTTACCGATATCTTAAAGTAGCTAATCTGTAGATAAGAAATCGCACTCGAAAGATACTTCCCAGATATAATGGTAAAATAAAGTAAACTTATAATTAAATTAATTTTTTTTAAAAAGTTGTAAAGTGTAGTACTTTTATGGTTTGAGTGTTTTCTAGATTTCGAATGAGAAGGGGTAAACTTAAAAAAAAAAATATATCGTTGAAAAAAAAATATCTTCTATCAATGTTAAAATCAAAGTATTCATAGTGTTATTTTACATGAAATTAATGGAGTGTTTTTATTTGGAAGTATCAAATCTAAAGAATATTTCATACCAATTGTCAATTATTTTGGCTATTTTTAAAGTGATGATATTTGTATTGGGCTAATTAAATAACAAAATAAAATGCACATATTTCACAAACTTAAATTTTTTTTTTTTACAAAGGTTCGTATATTGTTGAAACATATACACATATTTTTGGTTGCTTTTGGGATAAATGAGGCACATTTTAGGTTAGATTTCTGATCTATAGACATGCTACACGAATAAAACGGTATGAAATGTTTGTAATATATTATTATTGTAATTATCCAAGTAGTAGGGTTCGGTTAGGTTAGATTGTAAATCTAAAAACGATTTTAAAAAACTTAAATAGAAAAACAACTTAATAAAAACGCAGTAAGTACTTACTAGCTTTGAAATGTTTGTTGAACTATTGTGAACAGCAATGTTAAAATAACCGTTTTAAAGTAATTTTTTTTTGTCAACCGAAGCAGCAAAATCGGAATAAGTTTAATTAAGCAAATATATTTCATTTGTACAGGTGTAAAGGAAAGTTTAGGCTATGGTTTTTTGATTTTCAACACATTACTGTGTGCTACGTGGAAATTTTGTAAAAACGTGTATGTGTAATTTTAGAGGTGTTTTGTGTGGCCTATTACTCATATGTTGTTTATGTCGACACGAAACTTAAAAAATAAGACCTTAAAAAAAAATGAAAATAGTTGTGTGTTTTACACACAAATACTTCAACGTTCTGTTCATATCGATACGAATTTAAAGTAAATAAAACCAAATAAAATATGTTTGCTAGATTTGTGTGTTTTACACACTTTATCGCGTATTGTAATATACTAGCCCATTTTATACAAGTAAAATTTAGAGTATAAAATAAAACCATAGTATAATATATATTTTCATATACAGTTATTGTAGCATATACAATGAAACATTCTCTACCTTGAGTCAGTGGTGTTTCCACCTTACCATTTACTTAAATGGAGAAGATCGTTTATACGTATATTCCAGAACCTCTCCCAAAAATGTCAACCTAACAAAGTAGTGATATCTACATTGTGGCTAAGTCTGCTATTGCTTTAGTTCATAACCTCACTTCACTCCTACTTTAATGTGCAACACTGCTCTTTTATTAGTACTGCTTAACACTTGGCCAGTTACTGAACGAGGCATAAAACAGACTTGACCGCATTGTAGATACCACTACTTTGGCTGGCTGACTTTTTTGGGAGAGGATCTGAACCTTATTTTCTTTGCTTCAGTCAAGACATTTGATAATAAAGCATTAAATGTGTATATTATATTTTATTCAATCAAGTCACAAATAGAATATTTTTTCACTTCCAAAATACGTTTCTTCTTACCAACATCGTGGATATATTTTAATTTCTAAGTTCTACAAATTGCTGAACATAATTTGCCCAGAAGAATTTGGTGTACGGATAACGATTAACCGAAAATAAAAAAATGTAAAAGTACCTATTCAGCTCCGCATTGAATTTTTCGAAAACTTTAAGCAACTAACAAAGGAAGTTGAGATTTTAGATCAGTTAGATTCTGGTTTATATTATTGATACATGCATTTCCAGTGTTATCAACATAAAATAATTGTAACAAACGCACCTTAAATAAATTAAATTATACAAGTACCAAGATTTTATAATATGTTAAACCAAAGTGTTTTTTTCTTTCGCAACTTAATGCCTACTATTAGGTATATTATTTCTTGTCAATCAGTGTAAGCGGACTATGTCAATTTGGCTATCATAAACAGCACAGTGGCCGTGTGATTGCCTATGAAGTGGTTTGTACAAGCTATAATCATTGTACAGGTAAAAAACAACAAATGAGTTTATAATGGTAAGTGAAACGGTTTATTGTAAGATACATTAAATTTAATAATTTTGGATACAGGTGTGGTTTAGAACAATTATTTAAATAGAACAACAATAGGTAGTACTGTATAATTTTTAGTAAGTTAATTCTAAGATTCCTGGTCTAAATTATAATAACTGAGAAGCAAGTGAATACGTTTTATTATATTATTAATGATGTTTATTTCCTAAACATAACTCTACCCCCTGCATTTGACTGTGTGTACTATTGTGTCTATACCAGTTAGCCGACACTCATCACCAACAACTTCAGCTAGAGTTATATATGTATCTGGGTATAATATACTTCTATACAAACCCTTCAAACGACACATCCGGTTATCATCTTTTTTAAAATCTGCATCCGTTCCAGCTAAAAAAAAAAAGGTTTATTTAAAAATGTTGCCAAACTTAACTTACTAGCTACTACATTTGTGTAAGACATAACATAACTATTAGATAGGATGTATACTTTATAGGTACAGACACTTTTTTAAATGGAGATAATAGACTGGAATCCTCGTGTATCATATATTTTAATTATTCATAACAATTTTGCAAATTCACCTTTAAAACGTCAACCGTAGTACCATAATTAAATTTATTAAAAAAAAAAAAAAATACTTAAATTATGATCAACACGACCAAACCAACATTGTAAATTATAAACTCAATTTTACAATTTTCCGCTATTCGGTAAATCAAATAAATATTTTTTCAGAGAGCTAAGGTTATTTTACATTCGAAACTAATTAAAAAAAAAAAGTTTAAAGGTCGATATACATGAAAATAATAATGTAGTATATTCATGTATATAAACTAGGAATATTATTAAAGCTTAAAAAAATACTTTAAATATACCTCTTATATAAAAAGGTTACTTTTAGTTTGAATAGTTCATAAAGATTTATAGATTTATTTTATTTTATTTTTGACATTTCAAGAGCGATCATACAATTTAACACACCAACGACAACTTCCCATAGTCGTCATAATCAGATTATGTTACTTGAGCAGTAAAAAAAAACCCAAAACGTGTTATTGTCTGTGTTAATTAAACAGAAAGGTACAAGTGGTTTGGGGCAAGAGTTAAAGTGATTACGTTGCAGAGGAATAAAGATTTTATTTTTATTGTTATTCTGCCAGTTTAAGTGCTAAAAACTTTTAAATTCGTCTAATGAAAAATCATCATAATATATATACGTACATAAAAAAAATTAAACTATTACAATTTGTTTAATACTTACTTGATACAAAACGGATCAATTGTTTTGCAGCTTCACGGAATAGCAATATTCTATCTATTTGAAGTTCTATCAACCCAAACGAGTCAACATCTGTAAAATTTAATAAATAACCATGTTGATTACAGTAATATTATACTTCAAAATTATATGGTTGTTCGTGTCAGTCCTAATGGAGTAGTACAATTATGTAAGTTTTTATTTAAATTTTCATATGATCAACTTTTTTTTTTTATATTTTTTTTACACAATGTGATCTTATTTTTTCACTATTTTATTGGTTATTACCGCCCTTCCAACTTAGTTTTTTTAATAGCAGCTTTTGAAACTTATATGGTAACGTATATATTTTATTACCTTTTTAAATTGAGAATAATGTATTAAAAGTGCTGACTGGTCGATAACCAGTTTCGGATAACTATTTTTAAAGTTAGGATGGGAGGGGAAGTACAGTTGGGAAATGCAAGCAGATAAAAAAATACTACACTCCATCTTTCCTTCTGCCCTAAACTTGAAAGTTCAAGAACTTCAAAAATAGTTATCCGAAACTGTTTGTCAACCAGTCAACACTTTTAATACATTATTCTCAATTTAAAAAGTTTATAAAATATTTAGTTACCATTTAAGTTTCAAAATTTACTATAAAAAAAAATAAAGTTGGGAGGGGGGGTTAAAACAAAAAACAAAATTTGGAAAATTGAGATCACATTGTATAAAAACAATATGAAAAAAAAAATTTTAATTTCTCATTAAACCCTTTGAGATATTGAGTTGCTCACGATAAGTGGATCACCCTGTATGCCTTGTAAATATTCACTACTTTTAAGTCCCAAGCAATATGTTTTTAAATTATATTAGAGTTTGTTTCACATACGCCATTAAACATTTTCTATTTCTATTTACAATTAAAAAATATATAACGTAAGCATAAAATATCATATAATATTTTATATATTTATCACAATAAATACGGTTTTTATCAGCCTTATTTTTATTTAATTATAATAAATACCTATCGATTCACATGTACAACCGACTTTTCTCAATGCAGTACTCGCTAGACCTAGTATAAACAAATTATGAGTTCAGATATAAAAAAAAGGTTTCAAATAGTAAAATTAGCATAACTAAAAATAAAATATACAACTTAATAATCGTCATTATTAGCATAAAAAAACGTAAAAACATAAATACCTTTTTCAAACACAGGGACACCTGTAACAAAAATGAAAACCAGTTTTATATTTTATCTATAACAGCTTGTAAAACTGAGTTTATTTAGACTAGTTATTAGGCATTTGAATAATGGTTATACTTCGAACAATCATCAAAACGTTTAGTAGGAAAACATATAGCTTTAAGATTTAAGAACTCAAATCAGATTTTGCTTAGAAATAAGTAATTATTATATTTTATGAAATTGTGTATTTATAAATTTTACTATTTACCTAACTTTTTGGATATTTCTGTTTGCAAGACTTTTTGGGAATCTATGCTTTCTAAAATTAAAAAAAAAAAAAAAAACATTAATTTTTACAATATTTTTCTACATCTTTTCTTAAGATAGAAATAATTATGTAAGTACATAATACATCTGAATTTATATAAATTATGCATGCATGTATATATATAGTATTCTAAAAATCAATTTATAAGAGTAATTACGCTGCAATACTTCCATGCGGTTTGGAATGTTGCTTCCGTCAAATATTTTTGCTGAAATTCAAACGAGAGCATTTTATACTTAATATCAAACAACTATGTGCAAACACGTCCATACATTAGAGAAATATTATAATATTACCTGGTGCAGCAAACATATAAGACAAATGCGCTAAAATTTGCATAACATAAATGGATTAGAAGTATGTAATTTAATGATGAAATTTGTGAATTACTTTCAAATACTATTTTCTAATCTTAATATTTTGAAATAACCATACTTACCCATCGGTTTATCTCCAAAAACAATTGTTCTAATTACACTTTGCAAATGCACTAGAATAAACAAATAATAAATTGAGGTAACAAATAATTTCTAATAATAAGTGTATATACCATGAGGAAATGGTACCCGCTTGATTTGTCTATCTGTAATAAATAAATTCAAATAAATATGTGCAAATATTTAAATTAAGTGTAAGTTAAATTTGTATGGTAAAACATTTTTTACTAACTTGTGTAGACAAGCTCCCTTTTATATTCAACTGCAAAAAAATGAATTATTAGATTTTTATTTACTTCACTTATGTGGGTAAGAGTAAAACACAACAAAATTATAATTACCTAGTTTATTTGCTAATATATTTACAACAACAAATGATATTAAAACACAAAAACGTTTCATTTTTATCTGCAAAGAATAATAAACACTTTTATATTATTTATGTTATTTATTTAAACATAATATTATTACTACTTAATTAAACAAAAATTGTTTTAATATCTCTTTTAAAAATAAACTTATTATAGAATAGTTATTATGGTAATAAATAATAATTAATAAAATCAATTTTTTATAATAAATGTTTTAGTTTCAGAAATTAATCGTGATTAGTATAATCGCAGTAAAATGAAATAATTTGCAATGTTAATAACGCTCGCAAAATATTTAATAGACAAATATATTTTATAGCCATGCATAAGAAATAAAATTTCAATTTAAGTAACTTAATATTCAAAATTAGTGTATACCTAAATAAAAAAAATAGTTTAAAACTATAATACAGTCAACAAAAAGTCGAATAATAAATTATTATTTTAATTAAATATTAATTTATTGCTGCATAATACCAGAGCTGATATGATATGAACCCATAACTATTCCCATATAATAACCTGTCGGCCCGTCATGGAATTTTCAAAATTCGTCATTTTTGAGCGATAATATTACAAAAACTACTTGGCAGAAATTCAAAATTTTCTTAAAAAATTAATAATCTAACAGGATATCTAAAAAAATATGAGGGCTCCCAATTAAATTTTAAAAATTCATACCACAAATGCGCAAACTACTTAAGGTAAAATTTTTAATATAAATGTGCATAAAATAACACCTACCAACGACCAAAAATAAAAATTTGAAAAAAATTCAATAACGGTTCTAAAACTTGCCCGTTTTTGAACTTGTCGAACACCCTGTATACTACACGAATAAAACGGTGTACTATTTCAATGATATATTTTTAATGAAATTGTCCAAGCGATTAGGTTAGGTTAGGTTAAGTTAGATTGCAAAACTAAACAAGAAAATAAAAATAATAGAATACAAGAAAAACTTGATAGAAAGGCACCTAGTACTCACTAGCTTTGAATTTCTGGATGAATTCTTGCGAACTTCTTTGTTAAAACCACCGTTTTAAAGTTTAATTGGTGCGTGACTTGTCGCAGACACACTAAAATCGGAATAAATTAAATAAAAAACACAAAATACTTCTGTGCGTTTACTTGTTTATACAGGTGCGAAAGAAAAGTTTAGGCTAATGTCTTCATGGCTATTGGTGTTACAAACGCGTGTAACACCATTGTTTGTATCATACAATTTTAAAAATTTAACTGTGTACGTGATTTAAAATACTTAATTGATAAAATATCGAACCTATTTTGTGTTTTAAAAGAATTCGTTTTTATCCTCTTAGAATACAACTAACACGTGTACCATTTAAATAAAAAATCTTTTGTACATGTAAAGTTGTATTTTTTTATCTAATCTATCCCTCTCCTTATTTTTCGACCTTTATTATAAATCTATGAAAACTCAGGTTAGGTCAAGTTGTTTATTTGTTTTAAATATGAACGCGCAATCGGCTGTTTTAAGTTACATAGTTGACATAATAATTAAAAGTACATTTAAACAAAGGATAACAAATATAAATAGACATAACATAAAGATAATAATAATACAAATTTAATAACTGGCAATCGACAAAGGTCACAGCAAGGTCTGAGCATTCTGTGCATTGTATGATTGTGGCTATAAGAAATGGAATGAATAGGAGTATTAAAAGGAGTTGGATTTCGATTGGCGTATGAAGGAACTTTAAATAAGACACGGGAGAGAAGATCAGGAGCGTCAAAGGAATTATTGAGGAGAGCGTTTATAAATTGAGAGTCAGCATCATTGCGGCGGGATGATAAAGATGGGATATTAAGGATACGGCTAATGTGGGAGTAATCATGTTGCGATGGAGGTAATTTAAGTTTGTATGCAGCATAAGAAAAACATTTATGCTGGACACGCTCAAGCCGCAATTAATCCTTAGCCACATAAGGATGCCAAACAACAACCCCATGTTCAAAAATGGATCGGACAAGAGCGAAATACAAAGTCCGAAGACAATTAATTGAATTAAAGAGCTTCGTATTACGCTTGAGAAAACCTAAGACTTTTAAGGGCTCTACCGATGATGACGTCGATATGGTGGTTAAAGGAAAGATTGCATGAATAATAAATACCAAGATCTCTGATGACAATAGAAACTCGTTGCAATCGAGAGCCATTAAGTAGATATGGATAGTGCATAGGGTTTCTGGATCTTGAGAAAGAAATCACACTGCACTCACTGATGTTAAGGGGAAGACCTAAATGGGAGACCCAATTATTAAATTGATTAAGTTCCTCTTGTAAAAGAAGGCAGTCAGCATGGGTTTCAATTTTATAAAATATTTTCATATCGTCGGCATAGAGAAGAAATTGAGCTTTTTTAAGATATCTGGAAGTAGAGTTCACAAAGAGGCAAAACAAGAGAGGACTCAAGTGTCCGCCTTGTGGCACCCCCGACGTGGCATTAATCAAATTGGAAGAAACACCATTTACCTAAACAAATTGAATTTAATAATGATCATACAAAGATTTAGTGTTTGATGTAACATACCTTATATGGAGTTTAATGTTGAGTGACTACATAAAAATAGTGTAAAATATATATATATATATATATTATAGAGTCGTGGAAAAAATTATTTTGGCTGGTCAACCACATTAGTATTGGGTTGGCTTAAATACGATTTATATAAGAACAACTCGGGGTACAAAAGTTAATCTTACCTATTTTAAATATTGAAAAGCATGTTATTTTCAACGCATTATTGTGTGCAAAATTCTAAATTTGTAAAATTGTGTTTGTGGTTGTGTATTGATTCAGTAAAGGATTTTGTGTGGGTTATTACTCATTTGTTGTTCACGTCGATGTAAAATTAAAAAAAATAAGACTTTAAAAAAAAAATTTTAATAGTTGTGTGTTTCACAAGGCAAATAAGACGCAAAGAATAATGTGTGATGTTTACACAGTTTTTCGCTTACTACAAGTAAAATATATTAGCGCATTTCGTACAAGTAATATTTAGAGTATAAAATAAAACTAAACACATTTTCAATTATGGAAACCTAAATTTGGGCCTTCCGTTAAATTATTTTCCACACGTTAGAAAATATCCGTTCTAACGGTTACCATTTTTCCTAGATACAATAAAAAAAAAATTATAATAATATAAGTTTTTTTATACAATTATTATGTATAACGAAACATCCTCTAAATTGAAATTTTACACTATCCACAAAAAACTTCATAACTTTATAACTAGTTTTTGCAGTGATTCTAATTTCTTGTACTCAACTTGATTTGAGTTATTTGTATTAAATATGAGTCTGACAAATTTAATTTTCACACAGAATACGTAACTAAGTATATAATTAACAAATTTGACAAAAAAGTAATTTTTGAAAAATCACTTTCTTCTTTTTGTCTATACTACAGCACTGTTAAATACCCGTTATTTTAAATAACCCGCTAACATACAGTGCTGATTATTGCACGCAATATCATACTTTTCCCGTTTGAAGGCTACACTGCTTGACATTTAGTTCGAAATTGTGAGTTTCCATAAAAATACTTGTAATTTTCTTTTCAGTGTCCATTCTGCTTTCGTTTATTCTATGATAATACTACAATAGGAAATGTAAATACTTTTTTTGGATTTTTTCTCAATTTCTGAAGAAGGGGGATCTTTTTTAATATTTTGCTCAATAAAGTAACTTTTAGGTTCGATTTCTGATTTATACAGAGTCGTTACACGAAGAAACTTTATACGTCTTAATACCTAGTATTAGGTATATATTATTTCTTGACAATCAGTGTAAACGGACTATGCTTATACTCGTTTGGTTAGCATAAACAGGTCTGTAAGAATGTGATTGCCTATGACGTGGTTTGTACTATCTATAATGACATGTGCTTGATCACTCCAGAGATTGAACAATAGAGTGCAGAATGACCTAAATTTGCTATACTCAAATAATGTCGAATAAAAGGTAACTATAAACTATGAAGACTAATGGTTAAGACATAGGACTTGAATGGATTATAACAAGCCAACAAAGAGGAAGATAATTAAAAAAAATAGGTAAAACTTTTTTCAAAAACTATTCAGAACGAATCTGTATACATGTAAAAAACAACAAATGAGTTTATAATCGTATGTAAAACGGTTTATAATGGGATACATTAAATGTAATAATTTAGATGAAATTGAGGTTTGTAATAATTATTTGAATATAATAACAATATTACTGTATAATTTTTAATGACTTAACTGTAAGATTCCTGATCTAAATTATAATAACTGAGAAGCAAGAATACTTTTTAATATATTAATCAAGTGGTTCTAATTTTGCTTCTGTTATGTCATCTCCAATGCAACTGACTACGTATAATTTATTGTTTAAATCTTTTAGATGACACTCATCATCCACAACTTCAGTGTCTTTTATAAAATCGGTTGGGTGTAATATACTTCTGTATATGCCTTTAAACCGGCACATCAGTTTACAATCTCCGTAATCTTCATAGCATTCACCTTGAAAAATAAAAAAGGGATATTTAAAAATTTGCCAATCTTAACTAACTAGCTACTACATTTATTCAGCGTGTAAGGCATAACTAGTACACGTGATTATTGCTATATACAGATGATCCGTATTGTACAGCTATGTTACTCTAAGTCAAAAACTTTTTTAAATGGAGATAAAATGACTGGACACCTCATATAATATAATAATCTACTAGTCATAATAATATTTGTTTAAAATACACCTTTAAAAAGCAAATCATAGTTTTAATTATATAAACTAGGTAAATTATTAAAATATCTAAAAAGCTACTTTTAGTTTGACCAGATTATAATATAATATTTATCTTGATGGTCCATCAACCTTTTTTTGAAAAAACCAATTTCATATGTAAAAAAATTATCTATTGGCTTTTTCGAGTAACAAAAAGTTATTAAATTGAATTATTCTTTAAAAAGTTGGTTTTTTAGTGTTGCCTGAGATGTGAGAATATGTCTAATATATTTTTATAAGGCTGAGGCATTTTCACTTGAACTCTTGACTCAATGTAATTCTGTTTTTTTTGTTTAATTAAGACAGGCAATAACACGTTTTTTGCAATTTGATATAATACTAACTTGATGCAAGAGTGATGAATAGTTTTACAGCTTCACGAGTTAGGCTTGTTCTCTCTTGTTCAAGTTCTAAAAAGCCAATCGAGTCACTAAATGAACCTGTATAATTTAATAAACAATGTTGTTGATTACCAAAATACTATACAAAAACAATACATATATATATTTGCTCGTGTTACTAATGTAGTACAATCAAGTTTTTGTTCAGATGTTCTTATAATGAACTAATAGTAAGTAATTTTACTATACTTATGTGATAATTAAACAAGTGTATGCCTTGTAAATACTAACTACTTTTAAGTCTCAAGCAATATGTTTTAAATATATAGCAAAGTTTTTTCACATATTCCATTGAATAATTTATTTTTCTTTTACAATTAAAAATTATAACGTAAGTATAATAGTCAGCATTGTCGCGAAGCAACGATGTATCACTGATTCGTTTGCATATCTCAACGGTACATTTTTTTTATCACGATTAATACGGTTTTATAAGCTTTACTATTATATTTTATATAATTATAATAACTACCCGTCGAATCACTTGTGAAACTCAAATTTCTCATGACAGTACGAACTACACCTTGATCTAAAAAAAAGTTATGAGTTGAGGTAAAAATAAGTTTCAAATAATAATATTAGCATAAATAAAAATAAAATATGCAACCTAATAATCTTCATTATTTAATAATAAATGGCCACACCATCTTAAAATGTAGCAAACAAACGGATAGCAGATGGTTTTTATTAAAATTTACTTTCTGCTATTGAACGGTGTATACAGGGTGATCCACTTATCTGGAACCACTCACTATCTCATAGGGTTTAATAAGAAATTAAAATTTTTTTTTTCAAATTTTTTTTTATATAATGTGATCTTAATTTTTCACAATTTTTTTTTTGTTTTTACCCTCTTCCCAACTTAGTTTTTTTGATAGCAATTTTGAAACTTAAATGGTAACGTTTTACCATTTTATTAACTTTTTAAATTGAGAATAATGTCTTAAACATTTTGATTGGTCGATACCAGTTTCGGAAAACTATTTTTGAAGTTACTGAAGTTTTAAGGTTAGGGCAGGATGAAAGGTGGAGTATAGAATTATTTTTATCTGCGCGCATTTTCTAACCGCACTTCCCCTCCCATCCTAACTTTAAAACTCTTAAAAATAGTTTTTCTACACTGATTATCGACCAGTCAACATTTTTAGTACATTATTCTCAATTTAAAAAGTTAATAAAATTTATACGTTACCATTTAAGTTTCAAAACTTGCTATCAAAAAAACTAAGTTGGGAGGAAGGGTACTAGACCTAGTCTAGTATAAACAAATTATGGGTTCAGGTACAAAAGTTTCAAATAATAAAATTAGCATAAATAAAAATAAAATATACAACTTATTTATCATCATTTTTTTATAATAAAATATGTCGAAACTATCTTAAAATGTGGCAAGCAAACAGATAGCATCAAATAAATAATGACTGTTTAATAACTTTCAATATGTGTTGCTAATAATATAATTTGAATAATTAAAACATAATAAATTATTCCTCTATATTTAGTACATTTATCTTTATTTTGTTTTATATGATGTTATAGCGGTTCTATAAACCTATTTACACATATTTGGTAAATATATTTCAAATAAAGAATAGTATTTTACCTATCAACAAATAAATGCATAATTACCTTTTCCAGGAACAGGGACACCTGTAACAAAAATATTGAATAATTATACTGAAAATAAAAACCAATTTTATATTTTATCTTTAACGGTGTCTAAAACTCATTTATTAAGACTAGTTATTAGCCGTTTGAATAATTATACTTTGAACAGTCATCAAAACTTTTAGTAAGAAAACATATAGCTTTAAAATTTAAGAGCTCATATCAAATTTTCATCGATTTTCCTTAAAAATAAGTAACTATTATTTTTGAAATTTTATTTTTACAAATTATTATATTTACCCAACAAGTCAGTTATTTCTTTTTGCAATTCATTTTGGAAATCTATGCATTCTAAAATAAAAAAGTCATTCATTAAAAAAATTAATTTGAATTAATTTTTTACAATATTTGTGTACATCTTATCTTGAGATAAAAAAAAATATGTAAGTGCATAATACTTCTAAATTTATATAAATAATGCATGTATGTCTATTGTCTATACATTTAAAGATTCTAAATTTAAAATTTAAAAAGTTAATTACGCTGCAGTAGTTCATCATTGTTTTCATCACTTTTCAATGGTACTATTTCAATTGCTGAAATTTTAACGAGAACATTTTATACTTAATATCAAAGAAGTATGTACAGACACGTCCATATATTTGAGAAAAAATATTACCTGGTGAAGCATACATATACGACAAGTTCACTAAAATTTTCATAACATAAATGTATGAGAGATATGTACCTAACCTAACACTTTTAAATACTGTAATAATTATAATTACCCATCGGTGTATCTCCACCAACCATTTTTCTAACTACCTTTAGCAAAGTCACTAGAATAAACAAATAATGAGTTGAGGTAACACAAAAATTCTAATTATAAGTGTATATTATACCATCACGACATGGCACCTGCTGGAGTTGTCTATCTATAATAAATGAATTAAAATAAATATATGCAAGTATTTAAAATTAGAGTCAAATTTCTAAGATAAAATTAAATTACTGACTTGTAAAGATAAGCTCCCTTTTATATTCAACTGCGAAAAAATTAATTATTACATTTTTAATTAACTTGAGTAGGCAAGTGTAAAATATAAAATCAACAATAATTACATAGTTTTTCCTCTGCTAAAACAGCTACCACAACGAATGATATTAAAAAACAAAAACGTGTCATTTTTATCTGCAAACAATAATAAAAATTAAAGCATTTTGTATTAGACATAGTCTTCAATTAACTATTGGCTCCGATGCGAAGGTGAGAAGGTTTTCGTTTTTAAAATGATAACTCCTAAATCACTAAACCGATATCTTTATAAAGCAAGTCTGTAGATAAGATGTGTTTTTTTTCAGTCAAAACACATCATTTTTTATCCATCGCACAGGCCGAACCAGTGATTCGATAAGTAATTTGAAAACTGATTTGAGTTCGTCACGAAGTTTACTTGAGATCCTAAAAGGCACTTTTTTCAATTTTGAATTTTAACCCTTTACAAATTTGAAATTTTATAAAATGTTCAAACGTTTTTTATTCATAGTAAGAAAAAGATATCAAAAAACTCATAGACAAAATTATTAAAATTAAAAATAAAACCATAAAGCTTATACAAATAAACCGGTTAAATTAATTGACACGGTCGAAATGTATTAAAACCACTTTTTTCTTAAATATTGCCTACACAAAAATGGTCGGTATGGAATCCGGTTGTTAGTTACTTCCCAGATAATATGGTCAAAATAAAATAAATTAAGCCATACAAATTTGGAATTAATTTGATTATTTAAAAAAAAAATTGTAGAACTCCGTACTTTAAAGGTATGAGTGTTTTGTTGATTTTAAAGAACAAGGGGTGAACTTTTGTTAAAAAAAGCATATCTGCTCAGCTTAGCATCAATGTTAAAATAAAATTATGCTTAGTGTTATTTTACATGAAGTTTTTGAAGTGTTTTTATTCTAATCTAAAGAATATTTCATACCAATTGACAATTTATTTGACTAGTTTTAAAATAATGATATTTATAGAGCGCTAATCAAATTATCAAAAAAAAAAAAAGTACAAATTTCATACATTTTTCTAAATTTAAAAAAAATGCGTTTATTCATAAGTTGAGAAATATACAATTTTTTATGATTTTGAATGAGACTTTTTTAAATTTTTAAAAAAACAAACTGTTAGATAATGTAACCGTTACAAAACCTTTTTACAAAGGTTTACAAAGTGTTTCGTATTTTAAATGAAACTTATACGCATTTTTTGATTATTTTTCTTGTTTCTTAAATGAAACTTTTAAAATATTGGGCCAAATGAGGCAAATTTTAGGTTCGATTTCTGATCAATCAAAAGAATAGTAAGTAAAAAAAATTTATTAAAAATGCATGAAGTACTTACTAGCTTTGGAATTCTGGTAGAACTCTTGTAAACTTGTAAGTTAAAACAACCGTTTTAAAGTAATTCGTTTTGTGGCTTGGCTCCGAAAAAGTAAACTCAGAATATGTTTCACAGTGCGCACATATATTTTATTTATATAGGTGTAAAGGAATGGTTAGGCTGTGGTTTTTTTATTTTCTAACACAATACTGTGTGCTATTACTCATATGTTGTTCACATCGAAACGAAATTTAAAAATTGTGACCTTAAATGAAATATAATAGATTATAATTTATTATACTAGTATGTTTTTTCATATCGATACGAACTTAAAGTAATAAGACCAAAAAAATATGTTTACTATATATGTGTTTTTCGCACACTTTATCGTTTGTTGTAATATACTAGCATATTTCATAGGAATACAATTCAGAGTATATAATAAAACCTAACGTATATTATCAATTTGAAACCTAAATTTGGGCCTTTGGCTAAAATATTCTCTACACGTACAAGAAAATAACTGTACTATTTGTTACAATTCCCAGACACAATAAAAAAATATATTTATATATTTTATACTGTTATTATAGCATGTATAATGAAACGCTCTTCACCTTAGGTGGTTTCGCCTTACTATTTACTTTGGAAGAGATAGTTTATATATTATATTCATTAATAAGTATAACACTTGAACGTAGAAATGTATAAATTGTCTTAAAACTCTTTTTAGTTCAGTTTTATTAATAAACCGGACAACATTTGATTTGGTTCATGCAAAAAGGATCCTTAACGCTATTTCTGGGTAAAAACAAGTTAATTGCGGATTTTTACTGTTAGGAGTAGATTCAACGTTTTATGCTAGAAAGGACCTTATTCAGACATTCCCTAGTCTAGAAAACGGCTTGTTCATTTTCCGATTTATGCGAGAAAGGGCCTAACATTCCTGGACTAAGGTCCCTTTGCAAACGAATTTACCAAATTTCCATTGTTCTATCTCATCTGCTTTATCACTTATCTTTTATTTCGTCTGTCTTATTATCGTGAAGTGTTATTCTACTGTCAATTGATGTTTTTTTTTTGTATTCTTATCACTTGATATAAAAAAATTATACATACTATAATAATAAAATATAATTGTTATTATATATTATTGTTATTTACGTTTTCCATGTAAATTACATTATTTTGACGAGAAATTACATTTACCTATAGCAATTAGTTTTATCTACATAGTATTTGTGGCTCGTGTAACTCTTAATCGAGTTTGGTAAATACACAATCGAAAACCACTCTAAATTACAATATGCTCGCAGCGTCCAGTATACCTATATTTCATTGTAAACATGCTTAATCGATGGTTAATTTCGTATATTTTAATAAGTTAAAAATATTCTCGAATCAATCATCCTATTTTAGGTTTTTTTCACATATTATGTTTCTTCGATGAATTCATTTGAAACTGCTAAAGGTGTTATTTAAATATTCATCTAAAAAAATATATTTTCATTTTCAATAAAATCACGTGTAAAAACCCAGACAATGATGATTATGTGTGCCATAATAATATTTATGACTTATACACGTGTCTTTAAATTTGATATTTGTGTTATGACTAATATTATTTGTACAGCAAAATGCTTGTTCAACGAGTGTCGCACAATCTTGTAACGATTTAAAATTTAACGACTTAAGTTAAAATTATTAAGAAAAAAAACAAAACACGTTTTAAAAAAGTTTTAAAGCAAAATGAAATCTAGAAAACCCGGTACAGCGGGTACGGGGCGTAATGGTAATGGAGAATATTTAGAGGGGGATCACAGGTCTATAAGAATTATTGCAAGTCAAAAAATATGTATCGGATGTTTTTCTCGATTTCGAAAATTTTACAACTTGTACCATTTTTTGTGCGTAAAGGCAAAAATTCGGTAAAAATTTAGAACTTATTTGCCTATTTTTAAAAATTAATTGAGCGACGTAACTTTTAAGTTAGAAGTGTAAAATGATTCAAAATTACAAATATTTCTTAAAAGTTATAGTTAAAACGATTAATTTAAGATTTTCTCTCTCTCTGTTTAAGCATTTCAAATTCAGATACGGTAAACATTAAAATATTTGTAACAATGTAATCAATTGTTTACATTTATGCAAAAAAAAAAAAAACAAACAAATCGTGGACGATAATTTTATACATTGAAAATACTAAAATGGCAAAATTATTTGACATTACACTGAACCAAATGTTTATTTATTCACTCTAATTTTCTTTGAAAAAAGCAAATACATCATGTTACAACCATTTATTATAAGTATAAAATGTGACATTTACTGCAATGTTAAAAAAATACGAAAATTCTAACGGTAACATTTTTTAAAATGTGTTTACATATTATGAAATTAAAAAAAACATGATCCTATTTGGAAAAAAAAACTAAATCCTAACATATTTTATTAATAAGGGATGATCGTAAACTTTTTTAAGTATTGAAAAAACTGTCTACAAGCATAGGAAACAAATTGTTTTCAAAATATTCAAAATATTCATTAGAAAACGAGTGTCTTACATAAAATGGATTACGCTGTTTTATATAAGCATTCAAGTACAAAATTAAAAGGTATATATATATATATATATATATAATATATATACCATACATGGAAGCTTATAACTTGATAAAAATCAAGTAAAACTTTGATTTTTTGAACACCCTGTGTTTTTTGTACTATATGAAGTACGCATGCCACATTTAATGTGGTCTTCTGCATAAACACATTAATCCTAAATAGCAGTGTAAAACTTCAAAAAATATTTTTTCTTATGATATATTTTGCTTGTAGAGAATTTAACAGATATCTGTTATTACTTATTTACATTGCTACATGCGTTGTAAAATTGAACATGAGGTTTAATAAAAAAAATGCTTTAAATCACTTTTGTGTGGTCTTCGAATTTTAAACCGAACCTTTTTCGTGTAGTTGTGCTTTACATTTTAATATATTTATACAATAACAAAATACCATATTGAATATGCATGACGCAATTTTCAATTTAAGTAACAAAAGTCCTGATTAATTGAACAAAAAGTAATTGTAAGCTCACATTTAGTCCAAGGTCAACGCAAACCAAAAACGAATAACTCGATAATAATCATTTGAAACAGCCTATAATGTTAACTGTAACAGATTAAATTAAAATTTGTAAAATACCATTGCAATAGTTATATGTAAGCCTGTTTGCATAGGTGCACATTACACACATTTGACTGAACAATTTTTATATGAAAAACAAAACCAATGTCTTGAGATCCAAACGACATTATTATATTCGTTTCATGCGATTTTGTATTATATTTTACATTTTAGGAACTACAACATTCATTTTCGATATTCTATTACATTTTAATGAAATTCAAGTGGTTTAAACAATTTGTTTATTTCAATTTTATTTTCTGTAAGAGTTTTTTTAACTAAAAAAACTCAACGTCACATAATAGAGATTTGAACTAGAGTAATTTCGAGTTCCACATGACACCAACTTGGTCTAATAAATGGTTAAAATAAGACGTTTGGAAATTATTTTAGTTTTCATTTAAAAAAATTGGTTGAATGGTTTAAGTATAATCGACAAAAACCAACCGAAATTAGTTTTTATTTCAGTATCCTATTATACTGATGATCGCATAGAAAGATCTTCTTTTCAATTTAAGAGGATTGCACGCGGTCTTTTTTTAGGGAGTTTTGTATAGGCAATATTTACAAAAAAAAGTGGTTTTAATACATTTTGACCATGTCAATTAATTTACCTGTTAATTTGTAAAGAGTTAAGATATTATTCTTTTCATTATTCAGGCCTTTTCTGCCTGCACAATATTGTACCAGATGCTGAACACCTAGACAAAATCAACTAATTTAATAACAAACATAGGGACCAAGGAATTGAAATAAAAATCTGAAAAAATTAAAGAAATATTTTTTCAGTATTTGGAGTCGAATGACGGCCATCCTAATGACACTACATTTTTGTTACCAGTTGATTCACTGTCACATAGTAACATAGTAGTATAATAAAACGTGTAAATTTTCACTTTTTAGCTTCGATGCAAAGCGAGAAGGTATTGGTTTTACTCTGATGTGGGCTTTTTTTTTAGCTGTACGCACTGTAACTTTTTTAATACTAGACCAATTCTTTCGAATAGTAACTCTATAAATCACAAATTTTATCATCAATAGTAAAAGTTGAAAAAATGTAATTCTTTACAGACGAAATTTGAAAAAACAAAAAAAAAAACCGTACGAGTTTTTAAGTTAGAACTTTTACTGGCTATAATTTCGAGAAAAAGAGTCGGATCGAGTTGAAATGTATGAGAAATAATTATTTGATATGTCCGCACACGTCGATTGTGTCAAATTTAATTGATATCAATTTCCCACCCCCTAGGGGGGGTACAAGTTTTTTGTTTTTCAGGGTTTTTAGCCGTAATTTTAAAACTTTTGGGTTGAAAATTTGCCAGTAGTTAGAACTCATATGTATCCATAACATATTAAACGGGAAAAAAATTCGGCACTACAGTTTTTTTTTAATTGTAGGGAAACTGTGTTTTCGCAGATTTCGTATATTTTAACAAAAACATCTAAAATCTTTAAAAAAAATTGATCAAATCATTAAAACAATTTTATGTATATCTATGCAGAATGATACTATTAAGTTTTGTGCTCAAGTACCACTTTTGACTTTAAGTTCACACAAATTCAATTTTTTTTTTTAAACTAAATACCCGGTGTACCAGATGGGAGAAACGAACAGACACTAAAAACTATCAGTTGGTAACGTCTATCCGTGTTAGATAAGGTTAGGGCCCAATGATCGGTATCATGATATTGTGTTTATTACATGATATCACAGACGACTAAATCGTGTAACTGATTATAGTAGACACTCGATTTATTGGGAAAAAAACCTATTCGTGTGTAGAAACGAGAGTTTCTCATTATCTATTTTCATGCGGCTCACCTTGTCTGAGGATAATTGTTTTAAAACCACATCCCATTGCCCCGCCTCCTCAACGATTAGGTA